GTTTTTGTGTGTGTGTGTGTGTGTGTGTGTGTGTGTTGCTGTCGTGTGTGTGTGTGTGTGTGTGTGTGTCGTGTGTGTGGTGTGAGTGTGTTGTGTGTGTGTGTGTTTGTGTTGTGTGTGTGTGGTGTCGTGTGTGTGTGGTGTGTGGTGTGTGTGTGTGTGTAGCTGTGTGTGTGTGTGTGTGTGTGTGTGTGTGTGTGTGTGTGTGTCTGTGTGTGCGCTGGCGCCGCGCTGGCGCTGTGCTTGCGTTGTGGTGGTGACGTGGTGTCCTGGTGCATTCCACCGTCCCCCCTTGTTTGGTGCTGCGATGGACATGTTGCCCCTAGCCCCTGGCCGTGGCGCACCTTTTAACCAGTCGCTGCTCGGATCCATTGTGAGTTGATAACGCGTAATGCCGCGCGTGCAGATAGAGGAGCTAGGTGACCAGCGAGTCCTCGACGATCAGGCTCGAAAGTTCGTGTTATTAGGTTGGCTGCCAGCTTGGGCCTCTTGCACATGACTCCTGGTGCAGTCGCTGTATTTCGTGAGCATCTACCAGTGCTTGTACTGTATGGCTTAGTCATACATGCTCTGACCGTGCATGGACCGGATTATAATCTTCCCTTGCACCTTACTTTTATCGTTGAGGTGTTCTCTCTGTCTAACTGTATTAGATGTATTGCGTTGGTGCGTAGTTGTTAGCGTCCTGTCGTGCTGTGTAGTGTGTGTTTGTGTGTGTGCGTGCCGTGGCCGTTGCGTGCGTTCGTGCGTGCGTGCGTGGCGTGTGTGTGTGTGTATTCTCACAGCTTCTAGATGCACTATACCGGTAAAGCTCCTCCTCCCCGCGGTTTTGTCTATTGTGTCCTTGCTAACGTCCGTCGAGTGGTCAGCTATTGACCAAGATACCTAAAGCTATAAATCCGGGTGTCTCTATTCTACCTTGGTAATGAGTACTTGTACGCTTTCACGTGTGTTTCGTCCTGCATCAATTATTTTTTTGTTCGAGAAATTTGAGGCTTTTGATATTCTAAACTCGAAGCTTCCGCCGCCTGGATTCCCCTGCCGAGGGGGCTCTGCCCCTGGACCGCACCAGGGGCACTAAGGCTGGCCCTTGGGGCCGGAATTCATCAACATGCGCAAAATATGTAAATGCGTACGCATCAGAGTTTCTACCGAAGTAACGTAAACTCCAAGCCGTAGGTGCGATTCATCAAACCAGCGTAGCACCTGCGTGACCGTAAATGCTTGATGAATTCCAGTGTAAAATTCACGACGTACCAATCGTAAGCTGCTGGTCTGTTCGAGGGCGTGCCTAGCATAAACCAATCACACTGTGCGACATCATACCATTAGAACCAAACTCGACCCTCTCTGTATGTAAAAACCATATGGCTCTAGCTGGTCTATCAAGATTGCTGGGCGGGGAAAAAAAAAAAAAAAAAAATTTTGGGGGGGGTAAGTTCCTCATTTTCGTTGTATGATTGTCAACTACGATGAAGTAGCTGACACTTAATCGTGCGTGCGTGCGTGCGTGTGCACGTACCACTGTGCGTGCAAG